TTACTTGAAAAGTTAAAAATCTAAAAAAGTAAAATGGTAAAAAAAAAGTGAAATATTTAATCTAAAATTATACTGTTTTTAACCCTTTTTTTTCCCTTTTAAATTGTTTACTTAGTTTAAAATTCTTTTTTATTCCCCTTTTAAATTGTTTTTACTAGTTTAAAATTAGCAATTGTTTGAAGCATTTTTGAGAAAATTTTCTAATAATTTATTTAATTAATAACATTTAATTTAATTAATAACATTTAGACAAAATAAAATGATAATTTATTTGATTACTTTGTAAAATTAATTAATTTTATTCTTATATAAGTATGAGCATTTAAAAATTTATTTCAAATAAAATTTATAATATTTTTAAACTAATATAAATTTTGTCGAAAGAAAGATATAATATTAGAACCGAATTTTTTTTTTAAAAAATAATACCCGTTATCGTACGATAATAAATATATTAAAATAATAAAACTAGACTCCTAAATAAACGCTAACTAGCAGAAAATATAGATTCGTAATCCTTATCCTAACACGATTATCCTGAATCCAATATATTCCGGATTTACCCCAAGAATGAATTAATTCACAATTTACTACACCACCTCAAATTCTATGAGCTTAACAATACATATAGCGCGGAAAATTGTAATCGGAATTGGCAGTTCATCGAAACTACACTAGAATCGGCAGAAATCAAAATCGGATAGAATCGGTGGTTCAAGCACTAATTCATGTTCAACATTTAAAAATTTCAAACCGATGGTTCAATGAATCGGCCATGCCTACCTGTGACATAAGGCGAGGTAAAATGGAGGGTTGGAAAATCTTGTCTTGGGCGGGAGGAGGTTTGTCTGTCTATAGGAATATTCTAAGTGTTGTTAGGTGTGCAAACTTATCTATCGAATCAAATCAAATCGAAAATCAAATCAATTCATTTCGGTTTGATTTAGTCAGCTAAATTAAGAGAGCTTCTATTGCCCCTTTCTTTTTTTAATCAAATTTATAAGGGTACAAGTAATTAAAAATTGATTTGCCAATGCATATACCCAAACTATTTATCAGTAAAATATGTACTTTTTAAATATATTTTGATTCAGATAATTTAAAATTTATGGATACTCTCTCTGATAGTACAATAATTTTATTGGCATCTACCGTGAGTTTGTTGAATTTACTACAAAATATTATAAACTACAAATCAAATATCTAATTAATCACATTCACCCAAAAAAAAAAAAAAAAAGATTCACTCCAAAAAAAAAAAAAAAAGGCTAATATATCAAAATGTACATTTTGTAAACATGCCAACTAATTTTAACTCTAAATTAATCGACGAGTATTTTGGTTCAATTATAAAAAAAAATAATTGTTCTAGTTATGAATTATTTTTATATAAGCCTAATAATTAACTTGATAATTTTAATAAAAATAATCAATGATTCTTTGTTTAATTTATATATTTTTTTTTACAATAAAAAGAAGATAACCATACCTTGGACCAAAAAAAAAAAAAAAAAGGCTAATATATCAATGTACATTTTGTAAACATGCAACTAATCAATTAAAACTCTAATTTAATCGACGAGTATTTTGGTTCAATTATTAAAAAATAATTGTTCTAGTTATGAAATTATTTTTATATAAGCTAATAATTAATTGATATTTTAATAAAATTATCATGATTCTTTGTTAATTTATATATTTTTTTTCAATAAAAAGAAGATAACCATACCTTGAAATATGGATACGAACAAGCAGTAATGAAATGGGTCCCTTTTGTCCTTTTACTGTCACCAATTGGGACACCAAAAATTATAGAGTTGGCCTCAGTTAGTAGAATGCAGCGCAATTAAAGTGACAGACTAAATGAATCTTGACAAATCTTTTATTCTCCTCCATAACTCCATTGCCATTGGTTCAAAATATAAATCATTAAGCAAATAATTTATCTAAATTATAATAAAATTAAAAATAATTCGATTAAAATATAATTTATCTCAAAATAAATATTAATTTATAAACATATTTATTTTATTTAATATAAATAAAGGTAAATTTGAAAAAAAAATATTTATTATTTCTTTAAATACTTAAAACGATTTATATTTTAGATAAAATAATCATCTTACAACAATTTCTATTTTAGAATCAAAGAAGTATATTTTTTAGACGTCGAAAAGAATTAAAACAAATAAATCATAAATTTGGAAAAAAAAATTTCAATTTTTGTCAAAAAAAAAACCACATTATAAATATGGATGGACGAGTAAAGTAATTATTATCCGTCACTAAAAGTCATAGACGGGTTGTACAAAGTCGTCACCTATCAGTATAGACGAGTCATACAAAGTTGTCACCTATAAGTACTATCGAGAACAAATCAATTTTATCTTCTATAGTAATATTCAATGACAATTTAAAAAATTAAACTTACGTTTTTTCATCGATTGTTAAACAATATTGCTTTGCTGAGAATAATTGAGAAAGCAAGACATGCGAAAGATGTGGTTAGTTAGAAATAATATTCTCTTTCACTTCTTTTTTTTTTTTAAACATTTCGGTCTGAAAATAAAAATAAAAAGCTAGAGATGATTGTCTGAAATTAAAACTTTCTCAAATGTTTTATTGAAAAATGCATAAAAATTCTAATAGTAATATCAATTTATACTAAAATTTTTTGTGACAACTTCTTATGATGGTAACAGTATAAAGTACTAAATTAGATCTGTAAACAGTGATAATTTCTAAAAAATTGTGGAAAGCACAAATTTAGATATAAAATAAAGTAGCGGTCGGATAATTAATTGTTGATATTAATAAACAATGTTCTATGGGATCATTGAGCCTCCCAATAAATAAATAAAATTCTTAAATTGTTAAACAAGAGAAAATGTCTAATTTGACTCCTAGTTTTTAGGCAAGTAATTTTTTTTTTATAAAAATCTATTTAATATCAAATTAGAAATTTTATTAATTGAAAACTGTATATAGATATGGAATAAAAATCGACATGTTTCTATATTTTTGTATAGGAAGCCTAATAATAAACCATTTATACAAATAATTAAAAAATACAATCTTGGTTTGGAGTATCTGATCGAGTTGACAGAGCATAATATTTATGTCATAGGCGATCGCTTGCTCCACTTGGTGGCTATTAATAGTCCTTTTTCAACTCCATGGTTTTTCTATATGTCCGATCTGATTACCTTCAAATTTATTTCTTCTATTGAAGATGAGATTTGCATTTCATTCTGCATACATATGAGATTTGCACTTTATTATGCATACATATGAGATTTGCACTTCATTCTGCATACAGATCTAAATAATAAAAGACACTAGATAAAATCACTATGATAATGATGATCACAATAACTCAGAACTAAATCTAAGAACAAAATCTCCAGATATGAGCAATAATAAATTTCTATTTTAGGTTACAATAACTTAGATCTGAAAACAAATATGAGAATTAATTGCAAAAAAATAAATAAAAAGGAAAAAGGGGTGACCACTGGTGAGAGCTCATCTGTGGCCGACCGTGGAAGAAACAAAATTATGATTTTGGATTATAGGTTTTTGAGAAAGATTTAGGTTTTAACTGTTCATACTAGTTGATAACTGGTGACTTGTTACTGATAGAATATCAAAAGTTTCTCTAAAATATACTGAATCAGTATAGCTATTCTTCTACCAACGCAGCAGTGCAACTTCAATTAGTAACTAAATGTAGTAGATAATTTTTTTTTTTTTTTTTGTAAATTATCTGATAAATATTGGTGTTTAGTAAACTTTTGATAGTGATTGTTATTATGATGTAAACTGATTAAGATATAATTACTTTAATAAATTATATAATGTAGAATGTATATTTTTAATTTTTTAAGTGCATATTATTTTTTATTTTATAATTAAAAAAATATTATTTAAAATTTTTAAAATAATATCTACAGAAAATTATTATTTTCAAATAACTATAAATAAAATGATCGTAAAAATATTAATTTTGAAAAAGGATAATTTATTAGTTGTTTTTTTTATGAGGTTAATGACGTATAAATAAAATATAAATACAAATCAACTACCAGTTGATAAGACAAAAAACTTCAAACAGAGCTAATGGAATCCGCTGATTATAAAGCCTAAAAAAAAAACTTACAATTGACTATTGGTTATGAATCATCTATCAGGTGACTATTAGTTACGAAGCATCTATCATTTGAATTAAACATCCTATAAATGTGATTATTTAGGAATAATGTTCTTTTTTTTAATTATTTTTTTTTTTTTTACTTTTCTGTCTGAAAATGAAAATGAAAACTAGAGAATATTTATTTTCCAAATTGTCTCTAAATTGAGACTTTTTGAAATATTCTATTGAAATTGCTTAAAAAGCAATATCAATGTTGACCAACTTTTTTACGGCAACTTATTATGATTACAACAATTACAAAATTAGATCACTTGTTCTAAAGTACAGTGGAAACCGCAATTTTAGCTCTAGAATAAAGTAGGTAAAAGATGATGTAAATTTTCATATTGTCAAGGATTTTATATGCAAACTTATAATAATTTAGCGTCTCCAACACCAATTTTTTTTATAATAATAATAATAATAATAATAATAATAATAATGACTTGCGTCACCAAACTGAACACACTGTCACAAAAAGGCTTGTTTTCGTTGTTTATGTTTGGGACAAATGTCCTGCATTTCTGTGCTTATGTTGTCAAAATTGGATTGCCACAAAATAGCTAGACAAAAAAATCATTAAAAACTATTAAGATTACAACACTGCCCTGCCTTGTAAAGATATTTTTAATTATGTGACATTTCAATATTCTTTTCACAAGTTTTTTTTTTTGGGCAATTTAACTTCCTGACCACAAAAATCTCCTCTTTCCTCTGGTGTAAAATTTATTTGCTTATCTAGACTTATAAATAGGAGCTTACAAAGCTGCAGGTTCGCAGTATCAAATAAGAAAGAGTGGAGAGAAAAATGGCGCCCTTTATCCCTCGATATTCAGTCTTTAAATCAAACTTCGCTAACAATTATTTGGTCTACATTGATGAATCAGGCAGCTCGCAGTATAGATATATTAGATGCGATGGAACAGAGATCGTGAGCCCATTCTCAAAATTCAGAGTGGAGAAGGCAACAACAAGCTCTGCCTTAATCCACATAAGATGCTGTTTCAGCAACAAATATTGGAGGCGAAGCAGCGAAGGATCGGATTATATTGCCGCAGCCGCTGACAAGGCGGAGGAAGACCAATGCAACTGGTCATGCACGTTGTTCAAGCCCATCCAGGCCGGTGATGACAAAACATTCCGTTTCCAGCACGTCCAGCTTGGAAACAACGTATGGTTTAATCGATCCGACAATGACTACCGGGGTTGCTTAATCGCAAGGTATTCAACCGAAGAATCAGATGGGGCCGATCTCTTCACGGTTATCAACTGGGATTCATTGGTAATATTGCCCAAACACGTAGTGTTCAAGGGCGACAATGAAAAATATCTACGCTACCGTGGTGAGGGTGGTGACGACCATATGGAATTTGGATGCGATGATATTGGTTCTACAAAAGTTGCCAACGAAATTTTCTACAATTTCGACGGAAGCATCCGGGTGAAGCTCGATGAGAATGGCAAATTCTGGGAGGCCACCCCAAATTGGATATATCCAATCTCGACTGATACTTCAGCTACTTCAGCAACATCTTTTTGGCCAGTTAAACTCGGGCCAGAAGGGGACAAAGACAATATCATCGCTCTCAAAAACTTGGGCAACGATAGATTTGTCCGTAGAACCCATTACGAAGGAACAGTAGATTGTGCAGCTGCTGCATCCTGGGCCACAACCATAGACAAAGAGGCCTATTTGTATGTGGAAGAGCCGTTGGTTTCAAGGAAAGTTTACGATGTAGATTTCCATCTGGGTGATGTAAGGGTCTACGGCGAACAGATCGTACTCTTAGCAAGCGACGAAGTGAATAACAAGTCGGACACTGAAATAAAAGATTCTACTCTGTTACTGGAGTATGAAGACAGTAGAACGAGCACTTATAAGACTAGCACGTCAGTGAAGACCGGTATTGAAATGGAATTCTCCGCCAGCATTCCAATCATTGCGGATGTACTAGATATTGGACTATCCAGTAAATTCTCACTAGAGTTCGGGAAAAAATACGCATGGGGTGAGGAAAAGAAAAAGACCAACACATTATCTGCTACCATGAAAGTTGTTGTGCCTCCAAAGACTAAGGTGAAAGTGGATCTGGTTGCAACCAAAGGATTTTGCGACGTTCCCTTTTCGTATGCTCAGCGAGACACTCTTACCAATGGTAAACAGATTACTTACATTAAAGATGACGGTGTTTATGTTGGAAGCAATTACTATGGATTCAATTTTGTGGTCAAGGAAGAAAAGATTGGGTCTTGATTATCGTCACTGTAATTGCTTCATCTTCAGTGATTCTACCCTTTTCTTTTTTCCCTTTTGTCTTCAATAAGTCTGCAATGGTCTTGTGTTACAGTTTCCTTTCTGGACATGGGCTTTGCAGCCATTAAGTAAGATGTGATGTTTCTTATTAGCTGAAAAATAATTGCGGAATGTTTTACTTATATCTCACTTATGAGAACTAAATAAAAAAAAATCTGTCTTTTATATCTTCATTTTCCACCACTTTTGCAAACTTGCGTTGGTATATTATTGAAGTACTTCATTAAGTATTAGTAATACTGATGGCGATAGTTATTTCAAAATTAAGAACAACCAATGCTGTAATAAAAAATAAATATGAGTTATAATTTAGGTAAGGTCATTTTCAGAGGTCTAAAATTAGTCTTGAAATTAGCTTTTAAAAAAAATAAATAGTCTCTTATCTTTTCCATCCAGTTACAGGTTATTTCACCCTGCAAACTGCAGTCAAATCGCGAACCTTTTGCTTCCATCAACGTCTTCCCTCGTAGCAAAAACGACCTCCATATATAAAAACCTATATATTGCTAAATTTCATCATATTGCTACATTAACAAATTCTGATAATTAAAAGAACTGTATTCCTTAATTAATTAAAAGCATGTTGGTTGGCAAATAAAAATTTTCCACTCTGTAGTTATTACTTTATTTACATAAGAATTTCTCTCCGAAGAGCCATGAAAACATGAAGAGCCGTCCACCCTTTATTGAAGAAAGGTTGAATGGTTGAGATTTGGTTGGGTGTAGAGGACTGATGGATGTAGTTTTTTTCTATAAGGATTTGATAACATTAATATTAATATTATAATTATCTTTAGTTATTTACATAATGATTAGCAAACAAATATAGTGGAAAAAACCCCCCCACTATAACTATCCAAATCAGTTACCATGTATAACTATACAAAGAGGAACCAGAAAGAAAGAAGCAACTAGCAACTAGTCTTTCTTTCTTTTTTTTTTTTTTGTGTGTAAATCAATAATTAAGACTCATTGCCTCTTCTTACAGATGCATTTAGTAAGAATCAACCCAAGAGCTCTTCTTACATGCCTCTAAATACTCTAAAAACATAATATTATTTGTTGAAGCAAATGCGTTTTTGTTCTCTTTGGAAGTTTTGCTTAAAGTGAGAATTGTATAAGCAAACTGTTTGATAAACTTAAAGATTAAATCAACAAAAATCATTAAATAAATCTACATCATTTAACAATTTATAATCTCTTATTTGGAAAACAATATTTTTTCCGAGAATTAAATGGAAAAGGATATTAAAATCAAAAACAAAAAACACAAGATTTACAGCAAACACCAAAAATGGTGAATATTTATTTATTATTCTTTGATATCCAAAAAGCAACACAACCACAAAAACAAACACCAGCAATGACTTGAACAATTATTTAGGATAATGCATTAAAGCAAAAAGGTTGATAAACCTATATCGCACTTATTTCTCAGTTAATTATTTTTTAAGCTAATAGCTTTTCCTCTGAGGTTTCGGTGCGGAATTTGAAGCAATTGACACCACTATAAACACCGTCATGCTTCACTGAAACATCCAATTCGCCATTTGTAAGTGTGTCTTGCTGAGTGTAGGAGAAGGGAACATTGCATGATCCTATTGTTGCAAGAAGACTAACTGTCGTCTTTGTCATTGGCGGCACCGTAACTGGGACTGTTTTTTTCAAAGTAAGAGATCCATCTACCGTTTCTCCCCACTGGTATTCTTTTTCAATCGTGTGCGACACTTGAATGGAAGCGTCCATAATCTTTGGAACACCAAGTGAGACTTTCATACTAATAGAAGATGCGGTTGAAGTACTAGTACTCCATTCATACTTCCAGGCCTCTTTGTATGACATTGTCACCTCTATTGTTTCGTTTTGCTGTGTCATGTTAGAGACACAGGAACGAGCCAATGTCAGGATTGATTCATCATAAATTCTGGCATCGTCCAGCCGGTACTCCACGTCGTAAATTTGTCTCACTTTGACAAGCTCTTCTACCACCAGGTGGCTCTCTTTGTCAATAGTCGTGGCCCAAGATGCTGCAGCGAGACAATCGACTGTTCCACCATAATTAGTTCTACGCAAGAATCTGCCATTGCTCTTGTTACGGAGGGCGATAGCGTTGCCCTGAAGTTGGACTGGCCAAAACGATACTTCTGGATCGGAGTTGGAAGCATCAGTTGTATCTGGGTATATCCAATTCGGGGTAGCCCTCCAGAATTTTCCATTGGAATCGTGCTTCACGCTTATGCTTCCGTCCGGATTGGTGATGATTTGCTCCCCAACTCTGTTATCACCAATATCAGAAGCTCCAAATTCCAAGTGTTCGTCACCGCCTCCACGGTAATATAGGTATTTTCCATTATCGCCCTTGAATGCCACATGTTTGGGCAACATCACCAATGATTCCCAATCAGTGATTGTGAAGAGATCACCTCCATCGCTTTCCTCTGTCGAATATCTGACGATCAAGCAACTCCGGTAGTCATTATCCGATCGGTTAAACCATACATTGTTTCCACTTTGGAGGTGCTGAAAACGAAACGTTATGTCATCTTTTGCAAAGGGCTTGAACAGAGTGCATGACCATTTGGATTGGTCTTCTTCCGCTGCATCAGCTGCTGCGACTATATAGTCCCCATCCTCGCTACTACGGCGCCAAAATTTGTTGCTGTAAGAGCATCTTATGTGGACTAAATCTTTGTAACTCTTTGCTCTCTCCACTTTGAACTTGGCGTATGGATCCAAAATATCCTCTCCGTCGCATCGAATGTATCTGCGCTGGTTTTCTTCTTGAACATAGCGCAAATACTTTTCACCGTAGTTTGATTTAAAGACACAAAGTCTAGGGATCACTGGAGCCATTGTTTTCCTTTTTCACTGCTCTGAAATTTGATGTATAGAGTGAGCAGCTGGTGTTTACTTTGCTTCAATCGGCTGTATCATCTGCTATATATAGGCAAATTGCTAGATTTTTGACGGGGTTCTTTGCTGAGGTTGCTTGGTTGGGGGCTGTTTGTGTAAAATCACAATTTTTCATTTGTCATAAAATAAATTACAGATAAAAAAAATTATTAGTTATATATTTTTTTTCCCATAATTTAAATCCTTTCAAAATATCTACTTGTTCACTTACTAGTCGATAGTCTCTCAAACTATATATTCGAAGAAGTTGCTGTAATAGAAATATTATTGAAATTGAAATTCACTTGTCTCAGTGTCAATTTTTTTCAGTTGAAGATATAACTTTTCCAATAAAGAAGCTCAGATAGGATGCTTTCTAGTTGCTTGAGTAAGTTAGTTGCTCATTTGCCATTGGGTATTAATGACTTAGCTTTGATATTTGGGGTATTCAGAAAAATAGGTCAAAATAAAATATTTTTCTTATCATAATGAAAAATTAATTCATTTTAAAAATAAAATGATTTTTCATTTAAAAAGAACAACATTTTCCGTACATTGATAAATTTATTTACTTATAAATACATATTTAATAATCCACTAATCATCGGTGGCCTCTACCACCAATAATAGTTAGTGATAGCTAAATATTGATCACCAATGACCATAACTCATCATTTTTTTTTTTGAATCCTTTATCATATTTAATAATAAACTTTTTAAAATATGAAATTTATAAATTAAAAATTTTAATATTTTTAATTAATTTTCAAGACCGGAACCAAACAATAGAAAATGAGTTATTTAAAAAAATATTTTTCATTCAAAAATAATTTGTTTTTTAACAAACGGATCCTTAATTTTTATGTTAGAAAAGTAATACTCAAAAAAAAAAAAAAAAAAAAAAAAAAAAAAATAAACTTTTTAAAATATGAAATTTATTAAATTAAAAATTTAATATTTTTAATTAATTTTCAAGAACCGGAACCAACATAGAAAAATGATTATTTTAAAAAAATAATTTTTCATTCAAAAATAATTTTGTTTTTTAACAAACGGATCCTTAATTTTTATGTTAGAAAAGTAATACTCAAAAAAAAAAAAAAAAAAAAAACAAAAACAGTTTAGAAAAGCAAAAAAAAAAAAAAAAAAAAAAACAAAAAACAGTTAGAAAAGCTCTCCAAATTTTCTTCCTTTTAGATAATGAATTAAATTTAATTTGTGAAAGAGGTTCCTATGAGAAATCAAATTAGTACTCCTAAAGAGTAATTATGATGTCATTCTTACTTTTAATTCATAATTTAGTCGTTTCATAGTAAGCAAAAAATTTTTATGATAAAATGTTCTTTAAAAAATCGTGACAAAAAGGAAGTGTCGCTAATGATATTATTCACTGTTTGGCAATCTTTCTTTTTGTTTTACTTACGACGACAGTAAAAACACTTTTGGTGACAAGTTGTGGTATTTGAATTCAGGAAATGCAATATCCTTTTTAAGTCGTCGCTAAATATGTAAGATATCATAATTGATTTCGTGGCTAGCAGTATATATAGGTCTGCTATATGCTTTCGACTTATTAATGGAAGACAATGACAACTCTTTTACCTTATCTTTATTTTGTTATCGTGACAAATTTCAAAAGTAACTTTCAAGGCCAATATAAATTGTGAAGATAACATTTTAAAACCTACTTTACACTTAAAGTTATAAATTTTGAACTTTCCACAGGTAAGATAGAACGATATGAATCTCTTTTTCTGTAGATATGAAATCTTTTTAAACATTTGGGAGGGAGCACTTTGTTCCCCTTTGTAGGTTTATACGACGCGAATCCGGAATAGTAGAGCTAGTGAACTTCAAATACTGGATGATTCAAATCAAAATTTATAAATTTTGTTAACATTACACACCTACTCATGTTAATAATAATAACTTTTTAGTGTTCTTGATTTTTATATGTAAAATATTGATTTAATGCGTGGTTATTATAATTCTTAGAATAATAATTTTCACAATTTTCAATTATTCATAAGTATTTAATCAATTTATTTTTAATAATGTTTTGAAAATTGGACTAGTCAATAAACTAGTAAAAGCAGAGAGATTCATTGAACTTAAGGGTTCGGTCGAATTCCATACGGTTTGACCAAATTTTTATATATAAATATTTTTAATATATTTTTAATTGTAGTTAAAAATACAGAATTTATAAATACTAGTAATTTTTAAGACATAATATAAATTCTGAAATTCATAAATCTCTTTTTATTTTATTATATTAAAATTCTTAATTCCATACATATAAAACAATCATTGACTATGGGTACATTATAAATAATTATAAAAAATAAATTTTTAATAAAATATTAAAGTATCTTTTGAATATAAATTAAAATTCAGTCATCCTGTTCAAAATTTAACCATAAAATCATTTTTTTTTCAAAAACAATAAAAAAGGCACATACTTACACCATTGTAACATTATAAGTAATTGGAGCGTTCAAAATCGAGCTGGATCGGTCAGTTGACCGATTTAATTAGAAATCATACTCTAATCCAGTTCGGATTGCATAAGCAAACCGGCAATATTAAAAATAGATAGAAACTGAAAAAAATAAGAAAAAAAATGGCTAAAGCTGGTGAACCGCACTAGTTGAAAATCAGTTTGATTCAAATTCTGAATTTTTTTCAAAAATTTGAGTCTTTTTAAAATTTGGGCCTCCTAAAAATTGATTTTTTTTTAATTTTTGGACCTCTTCATTTCTAAACATAAAATCCTAATATATTAATTAAACAATTAAATTGTCTCACTTTAAAGCCAAATGTGTAAAATAATATTATATTTTATGATAATTATTTAATTTTTTAGTATTAAAATTAGTTTTGGTTTATTCTTTTTGTTCAAAATTATTTACCAATTTTTATTCTTTTTGTAAAAGCCAAATTTTATACTATTTTTTATTTGACATTAAAGTTTTTTTTAACCTATTTTTCCAATTTTATTTAATAAATATATTTAAAAAAATTTTTCCAATTTTATTAATTTTATTTAATAAATATATTTAAAAAATTATATATATACTAAATTAATTAAAACATCTCAGGTTCATTTTTATATAAAATCATGTTTAAGCAATTACTTTAATAATAATCAGATTTAAACCCACATCAATGAACTCTTTCAAAACTACTTAGGAAAATTAAATACCTCTGGTTTAGATTAAATTGTTGAATTTGAGAACTCAAAATCTAAACACTTATAAGGTGTAGATCATAAACAATAATTATCTTTAACTAGAACAATAGAGTTATCATTGATCATAGATAAGAACAACAAAACAACATGTGTTTTAGATGTATTAATGCTCTCCGTTCAAGAATATTTTCTTTACCTTCTTTGATCTTGAATTAATTTTCGTTGATTGGTTGTCCAAGATATGATCCTCTTCTTCGTATCTAGGAGTTCGTCTATTTTCTTCCTTTTTTTTTTCTTGCTATTTATGTTTTCTGCTATTTTCTTTTACATGCTGTTTTTCTTCTTTTGTTGCCATATTTTCCTCTCTCTCCCCCCTTCTCTTTTAACCTCTTCTCCTCTCCTTTTTTAATGTGTTAACTCTTAGGCTATTAATGTAATGCAATGTAATGTAATAAAAAAATATAATGCAATGAAAAATATAATGTAATGGAATGTAATCAAGATTCCATTACTATGTTTGGTAATGTAATTGAGAAAATTTATAGAATGTAATCACCATTCTTTTTTATGTTTGTTTGAAAATATGTAATGTAATTAGCATACCACTATCACCACTCCACCACCACCATCACCATCACTTCACCTTCACCACTACCACCACCACCACCTCAAACACGTCTCCACCACCACCACATCATTATTAATACAAAAAAAATTTGAACCAAAAGCTATTCGCTATATTAAGCTATTAACAACCATTTAGATATAAATTTATTTGAATTAAAAAATTAAAAGAAGGTAACTTGAAAAAAATATAATATAACAAAATAAAAGTTAAAGTCATTAGAAATTAATTTTTTATATATTTTCGTTAAATAAATTAAATTATACAATAAAATTATGGGCATTTTGATATTTTTAGTGTTTTTTCATTCTATTCTTTCAATTCCTATAATAAAATAAAAGAATAAAATATAATTTTTATTGAGTGTTGCATATTAAACACTAAAATATAATTTTTATTATGTGGTGGTGGAGTGGTGGTAATCACTAAAAATATAATTCTATAATAAAATAAAAGAATAAAATATAATTTTTATTGAGTGTTGCATATTAAACACTAAAATATAATTTTTATTATGTGGTGGTGGAGTGGTGGTTGTGATGGTCATGGTAAAGTGATTGAGATGGTGGTGATAGAGCAGTTGTGGAGCGGCAATGGTGGTAGCGATAGTGGTGGTGAAGCAGTGGTGGTAGTGGTAGAGTGATGAAGCGATGGTGGTTGTAGTCGTGGTGATAAAGCAGTGTGGTGGTGGCGGAGGCGGTGGTGGTAGAGTGGTGGTGATGGTAGTTGAGGTGATTGTGATAAAGCAGTGGTGGTGGTGGTTGAGGTGGTAGTGATAGAGCAGTGGCAGTGGTGATGGTGGTGGGTGGTGGTGCAGTGGTGGTAGTGGTAGAGTGGTGGAACGGTGGTAGTGGTGCAGTGGTAGTGATAGTAGAGTGATAGAGTAGTGGTGATGGTGGTGGTTGAGATGGTGATGGTAGAGCAGTGGTGGTTGAGGTGGTAGGATAGAGCATGTGGTGGTGTGGTGGAGGAGTGGCGGCGATGGTGGTAGAGTGGTGGAGCAGTGGTGATGGTGGTTGAGGTGGTAGTGATTGAGCAGTGGCGGTGGTGATAAAGTAGATGGTGGTGCGGTGGTGGAGCGATAACAGTGAAGAGGGTGATGGTTGTGGTGGTGGAGTGATGGTGGTGGTGGTGGTGGTGTTG